ACTATTCTGTCTAGAGAACTTGAGGCAGGTCAGTGAGTGAGCCTGAACAGTACCTGGGAAAGCCAGACGCTGAGGACCCCAAGATGGCGGGAGTGGGGTGCGGTGGGGAGGCAGACTAGAAGTGAGCCTCTCGCCTGGGGAGAACCTGGAAGGGGCCTGTCACTTGCTATCTAAGCAGTTGGAGTTTGCAGCCCAGGCCTGCTCCCGTGTGTCTCTCCCTCCCCTTTCGTCGAGATCATTCACCAATCACAGCAGCAGCCCTCTGATGGCCTGGATGTTGAGAAATGCACCATTTGGGCCTATCCAAGGTCTCCTATCTTGTTGGACCCAGACATCTCACCTCCACCATCACTATGAGTATGAATGTGTGTACACATGTACAGAAGCACACAAACGTGCCTGGGACAGACGGGCGCCCCTCTGCGCCCCTCCCTGCTGCACACAGGAGCGCCATGGGTGAGTGTAACTGCTGTCTGAAATGGCTGTAGGAGCGCCTGGGTGGCTCAGTCAAACGTCCAACTCTGGGTTTCGGCTCAGGTCACGATCTCATGGTTGGTGGGTCAAGCCCTTCATCAGGCTCTACATTGACAGCATGGATCCTCCTTGGGATTCTCTCTCTTTCCCTCTCTCTCTGCCCCTCCCCTGCTCGCTCGCTCTCCCAAAATGAATAAACAAACATCAAAAATAAAAAATAAAATGGCTCTGGTGGCCAACTGGGGCCTCAGGTAGGTGGGCAGCATCGAGCAGCTGTGTGAAGCTGTCCTTGGTGGCTGCTGCGTGGCCTGTCGGCTGCCACTGCTCCCCAGCTGGTGCCAATGCCTCGTGTCAGTCCCAGTGCCAGGCTGTCATGTAGCCACCAGGTGGGCTGCTCTGAGCTGGGACCCTGGTTCCCACTCCGTCCCCCACAACTGAGAATGGAGAGGCTGCTGGTGGGGGTGGAGGAGACACAGGCTCCAAATCCTGGATCATTCCACTTACCTTCTTCTTAAAAACAAGTACATGGAAACTCCTACTTCCCTTTTCCTTCAACTTCTGTCCCGGGATGAAACCCTGTCGAGCGAGGACTGGGCGCAAAGGAGAGGCAGCTGCGAGGGACCCAGAGGGATCTTTTGGATCAGGCCAGGGGTGAAGAGGGCGGTGAGCAAAGCTTCAGTCCGGCCCTTCCCATCAGCAAGGTGCAAACAGCATCACTGCACTGAGGACACGCGCAGGCCAGCCAGAGCCAACAGGGCTATGTTCCCGTCAGTCTGGGCACTCTTGAAGAGGTCATGGGCAATTTCTGCCGGCCTTCTAAAATATGGAAAGCAGCTCATGAATCCCTAATTGGGGGTTAGAGATCCCCAAGCTGGGGAGGAGATAAAATTCAACATGTCTCCCAGAGTTGCCAAGCTGTAAGTAAGGCTGAGTCCTTTCAGGAACTGGTGTCCCCTTCCAGGGAGAAGAAATGTATTGAGAATATGTCAGGATCCCAGGAATTCAGTGGGGGCAAGTTGGGGCAAAGGGCAAGGAGCTTCCTGATGCCATTTAATGACAGGACACAGGCTCGCCTTGTCCGCATGTCGAAACAGCCCTGCTCTGCATGCTGGGCCAGGCTAGATCTCACAGCTCTGTAGCCACCAGAAGGAAAATCTCTGACCAACAGGCTCCACCCAGCAGACCCAGCCACAGACCACACACAGTGTGGCCCTGCTCTGCCGGCTTCCCGCTCTCCTCTGAACAAAGGGACGCCGCGGGTTTGCCCCGGCTGGCTCTCAGCTGCCTGGCAGTCTGTAGGGCCACAAAGGGGAGATTCCAGCAGGCAGCTTCGGAGAGACTGGCCCAAACGTGCCCCATGGAGTGTCGTTACGCTTTTTGTTAGCTTAAGGAGACACAATAGTCCATCTCCACAGCTGTCATTAAACTCAGCAAAAACGAGATGGCTAAATCAATAGCTTCCTCATCTTTGCCGAATGCTTTAGAAGGGACCATTGCAATGCCAATATTTTCGTGTCCAAAACGACATTCATTTAATCTGACTTCCCTCTTGTTTCTGTGGAGCAGTGAATGCGGCAACCGGGCCATCCCAGAGCAAAATGGAGGCATGAGGGAAGCTCGCCCACTGAGCCCACATGTCTCTGCCCCCCGCCATGGCTACCTGCCCTCATATACCGACTCCCCTGTCCAGATGACTCTCCTGTGTCCCCAGCTTTCAAGCAGGGGGATGCTCTTCCTTGGGGTTATACCTCTAGTCTGGGGACTCCTGAGGACCCAGACTTGACCCATTTCTTGCTAAGCACTTAGCCTGGTCTAGGAATAAGCTGGAGGTCTTTACATGCATGGTTTTATTTAATCCTTGCAGCAAATCTGTAAAATCGGTATTGTCCTCATCTTGCAGATGAGGAAAGCAAGACACATTCAGTGACTACCCAGGGCTCACAGCGGTATCATATGCAGAATGAGTAATTCAGACCCTCCAGCTCCCAAACAAGTGGCACCCAGATGTGGCACATCCCTAACGTTGAAAGTTCAGGCATGATGACAGCCGATAAAATAGTGGAGGTCAGGAGGAAGCCAGATCATGGATATGAGAGCATTTTGCAAGCTGCAAAGCTCAATGCAAACCAAAGGAGAGATTTAATTATATCACACTGGTCTCCACTTGCACACGAGCATGGAACCTGGAAAACACACTCGCCCTCCATTTGGTGCAGTCATCTACCTGTCTAGGGCGAGGGACGTCATGTTGGATGAGTGGCCCGAATGCTCCTCTCCCCCCAGCACCACCCCCCCAAGTAAATCTAGTAAATCTAGTTAATCACTAAGTCTCTCAATTTTCTCTCAGACCTGATGTTTTTCTCCCTCCCACTGATGCTTCCCTGAGGGCTCAGTCACCTCTCACTTAAGTCACTGACACAGCCCCTCCTTGAAGTCCCGGCATCCACCCTGTCCCACCTTACCACTCTCCAAGCGATCCTTCCCAAAGGCAGATCTGAGCCGGCCGCACATGGCTTCAAGCCTGTCAGCGGGCTCCCACCACTCTTGGCTTCAAGTTCAAGCTCTAACCTGGCTTAGGATCTTGTGATCTGGTGGCTGCTGCTCTCTCCAGACACCCCCTTCGCGCTTGCTCTGTGCGCCGGCCCCAATGACATCACCAGGGCTCACCTTCCAATCCCCGCCAGGTTAACTCTTGTCTTTAACTCTCAGCAGTGACATCAGCTCCCCAAGTTGGGGTCAGCATGTCTCCCACCCGTGAATATCACGATCACAGCACCGAGTTGCAATCCTGTTTGCTCTTCTGCGGTTCCTGTCAGATTGCTGGCTCTGTAAACACAGGGGTTGGTCTGGGTCCTTCACCATATACTCTAGGTGCTTGTACAAGTTAGCATCCAATAAGTCTTTGGGTGGATAAACATCTTGTCTCAGGAAGCCCTGCTCGTGGCCATTTTGAAGGAGCTCTCGTATGGGTACCAAGCCCACTGTGCTGCTGCTGGCAAGCCATCTTTCTCGTGTGCCCTTTGCTGAGTGCAGATGGAGAGGCAGCTCTCCCACCACAGCACACGGCCGGGGCGGTGGGGAGCGCCCCCAGGGTCATCTCATTCACCCCCTCTCAGGGGCTAAGGAGCCCACCACCCATGGCTCTAACCTAGTCATTAGACATCCCCGGGGAGAAGCAATGCCCAGCCCTGTCCTGATAAGAACGTCTCCTCTCCTGCCCAGCCAGGCAGCCTGCCTTCCATGGCTTTAGCTCATTTCACTGGAGCCCAGTGCTGAGCGGTCAGTGCATCCCATTGTCCTGTGATCCAGAGGACTTCACTCTGCCCCCCAAAAGCAGACAGCACAGGGACGTGGCCAGCATCCTCGTGGGTGGGCGGGAGCTGGAACCACAGTAGGCATAGACAAAATGGCTTACACCCACACACCTCTGACTTGGTTGGTGCTCAGAGGATGTTGGAGGGTCACCGCCCCTAGTTCATGACTAGCCCCTGGCTCCACGGCCACAGGGTTCCTTCTGGTAAATCTCCTTAGGGGGGATTTTTAGGGACTACATTCTAGCTGGACCTTCGATAGAGGGTCAATTCTCAGCAAACCCCTGAGGGCTTTGGGACACAGCAGCTGCAGGATGGGGTCCTAAAGTTTGGTGTTCTGGGGCAACCCTGCCAACCTGGCCACTGCCCTGAAGAGGAAGGAGAAGCCCCCTCCTGCTCCTGGGCCCACATGGCACATTCACTCTTTGTTCCCACCCCAGCCCGGAACACTGGCAGCGATTTCCACGTACATGTGGTCCCGGATGAGGATGACCTCTGAGCTCCTCACCTGCAACTTGTCACCATGACTGTGGCAGCCAAGGACACTGGGAGCCCAACTCCACAAACCAGAACCCCAGCCAAGGACACAGGGAGACTTCCATGACCAGGGGGGCACAGTGTCCGTGGGCTCACATGGTGTTGAATGCCCCCTGCCTCCCTGCTGACCTCTCATCCTGACTTGGTGTTCCTGTGCCCTGTTTGAGGCTGTCTCAGAGCCACCCTGAGAGCACAGCCTGGGCCAAGTCATGCTGTGAGGTCCCCTCATCCTGGAAGAGCTGTCAGGCCCACTAAGAACGTCAGAGGGATCAGGGAGAGACTGTACCTAAGCCCTGTCCCTACAGGAAGCCATGAATGACTTACTCCCTCCCCCTCCCCCAACACACTTCTGGGCCTTTCCACAAGACTGGCCATGTGTGAGAAGCGACAGGTACTGAGGTGGGAGTTGACCCCTCACACAGAGAGCTCGGGCCTCTCGGACTAGCTCCCAACCAAGCCCGCACCCAGTCACTGGGCAAAGGGCACCCCTAGAGGGGACTGAGCCCCGCCTCCCCCAGCAGACCTGTGACCTGGGCTCGAGGAGGGGAGATGAAGTCCTTGCCGTGGGGGTGTCCTAGACAAACGGTAGAGCCAGTGCCTGATCCGTCCTGGGTCCCTCACACCAACCACTACAAGAAGTCATGGCGGAGTGAACACAAACCACGAAGAGACCACCTGTTTGTGCTTTTGACACATTATCAGTTTTTTATTTAAAAACATGCTAAAAACATGGTGTTCGATAAAGCCAGGACCAGGATGAAGGAAACGCACAGATACGGCATTGCAAGCAGAAAAGTGCATTTAAAACCAACAAGCGTGCTGTCCCTGCTCTCCCACGCTCCCCGGGGGTGGGCAGGGTGTGCGCATGCCCCTGGCTCTGGCCCTCAGGTGCCCGTTCAGGGCAGGGAGGCCAGGACCCGCCGGGACCACTGCCTCGCTGAGGTGCAGAGGAGTGAGGGGGAGACCAGGACCAGGAGAGGCCGGTCGCAGAAGGGCGGAGGGACAAAGGGTGGACTCAGGCACCTGGCACCCATCCTACACCAGGTCCCTGCTAGTTAGCACCTCCACCAGTGTGGGTGGGCAGGGGGCTGCAGAGGAGGGCACAGCCATTTCCATCTACCTGGACTGCTTTGGGGCCACCAAAGCAAGGAGCGACGGCCACCCGGGTCCAAGTCAAACCAGAACATCTGTGCGAGGGTCTGGGGTGGGGCAGCAACCTTTCTGGAGTGAGAGCCCAAGGTGCTGGCCCATGCTGGTGCGGGGGAGGGGGTGACAGTGCTCCAGCGGGGGTCTGAGGGTGGAGACTGTCCTCCAACACCTGCCGCAGCCCCCCAAGGGTGGTTCTCAGTCCCTGCTCGCCCACCACCTCTGCAAGATGGCTGCAGGGAAAGGCCAAGTCTCGGCCGGCACCCCCTTGAAGCTGTCTCCAGAACCTGACCTTCTAAGTCGAATCTGGAAACTGCATCAGACCTGACCAAACTGACGCTGATTTTGGCAAGGGAAGTCACACGTGAGGGAGCTCATCGAGTTAGTGCTGCCCCAGTGGGAGCACAGTCAGGAGAAACAGAGAAGACACTGGGCTGCCACAGACACCGTGTGGCGTGACCTTCTATGTGTGGGATCCACCCTGCAGGAAGGGCGAGGGGTCTGGAAGAGCACCCCCACCCCTCGTGCCTTCCCCCAGAGGAGACTCGAGCAAATGCCTAAGCGGCCAAGCACAGGGTGAGGCAGGAAGGCGGTCTGAGGGACTGTGGACAAGCCTCCATGAACGGACAGGTGAGGGGGCACTGGTGGGTAGAGGGGGACCGCGGGGGAGGCTCCAGGGCCAGAGGACATCCCTGAAGCTCTAGAAACTAAGACTGCCAGGGAGGCTACACACACGCACCCCCCAAGGTGTTGGGCTTTTGCTGCTGATTTGAACAAAAACTGAAATTGCATTGATAGGCATGAACAAGCCCGCCCCATCCTCCCCAAGGTCATTACACACCCAGTCCCTTCTGTGTGACTCCAGCGCGCATTGGCTGAGCGCGTGTCCACAGTGACGCAGTAGCATGTCTGTTCTGTGCTCTGCAGCTGGGAGTCCCCAGGGAGGCAGCTGAAGTCCCGCACCAGGAAGATGGCACCAGAGGACCCAGGAAGGCAGTTTGGCTCCAGCATGTGCTGGCCCCTTTGTCCCCCCAAGGACCCACCTTCCCAGCTTTGCCATGGGCACCTTCACTTCTGTCGTGGGGTGGGCTGTGGGGGTTCCTTGCCTGACTCATTGAGCCCACCTTACTCTCCACTTCTCATCCCCCAAAATGGTGACTCCTGAACACCAAAAGTTCTATACTTCTGGTCCCCCCTGTATTTTACTTCGGCGGGTGCAGGAGTTGCCGGCTGAGTGGCCAGGTCTCAGCTTTTGGAGCAGACAAGTGCAGGCTGGAAAGGAGACGTGGGCCTGGTGAGAAATCAAGGTATTGAGCCACACGGTGCAGGGAACAGGCAGCTGCCCCACGTGAGGCCGGGTCGGGGAAGCGCACTGGATCCTAGCCGGCCAGTGGACAGCCTCTGCAAGCTCAGTCCCATGAATTCTTGACTTTAGTTTTTTAACTGCAAACACACTCAGACCAGCTTAAAGCCTGAGGGCCCCCCTGCTGCAGTCTGATACCCCACCCGGCCTGTTCAGCTTCTACACCGTGACTTGGCTGTTTCTCCCTGGGGCTGCTGTAGCAAGATCCAGTCTGACCTCCCTGTGCTTCTCCTCGGGGCCACGGAGGACAGACCTGCCACCACCCCACCATCAATGAACCCTGAGGAAGGGGATGAGGGTCCCGGGACCCCCTGGTCATCTTCCCCTCCCTCTCGGCAGGGAACGTGCAGCCCAGTGAGTACAGCTGGAATGATCACGGGCACTACTTCCACCGTCCCCTCCTGATGGTCACGGGACCTCTGCCACCGTCTGAGCAGCAAAACATAAGGAATGCTTCCCCTTCCAGAAGCAATGTGAGAAAGTGAGCAGCATCTGAACTAGAGAGGTATTTGTCCGAGAGTTTCTAGCAGGAATGTCTGTGAAAGTAACTGGGGTTTGCAGAACCTGTCGCGGGAATATGCCCGCATGGGGCGGAAGGGGGAGCCTCCGGTGCCAGCAGAGGGCAGGAGGAAGGAAGGATGGGAAAAAGAAAAGACTGCTCATCGGTGAAGCAGAAGGACCCACAACGGCCCTGGCCACGTTCCTGGCAAAGCACTTCGCCGGCCCCCCACGGACCCCCAACCGTTCGGGCCGCTGGAGCCAGCATCAGCAAACCTATGGCCCCCGGGCAGGGTGCCCCTCCACGCTGCTCTGTGCCTTTCTGTTGCACACGCCTCATCCAGGCTCCTGTGCCACCGACGCGGGCCCCGCACACCCTGGCCCACTCTCCCTCCCACTCGGTGCGTCCTGAGCACAGGCCTGGTGCATCTCCCCGGGGACTCCTGAGAGCTGCACAGTGGTTTGTCCTGATTGAAACCTGACGGGACATCCTCTCTCCCCGCACCTGTCCCCCACCCTCAGGAAAAAAAAAAAAAAATCAAACCATTACAGAAATCAACACAGTAAAAAGTTATAAATCAGAAAGCTAACCCTAAACTTATCTGGAAGATAATATTCCTGAATAATCAGAATCAGAGTAAAATAAAATAAAAAAGTTACACTGTAAGGTATAAAAAGCCTGGGCAAGATGCTCCCGGGGGCCTTGCCCAGAGGCAGTCAGACCCCCACCCCACCCCCCCCCCGCCAGCTTTCCCATGGATGGCGGTGGGCACCCGTGGCTCCGTGGGCAGTCTCTGGACCAGGAGGGAGCACTCTGCGCCCCACCCACATGGGGACCAAGTGTCAGCGTGAGGAAGGGCAGAGGCAGAAACGCATCAGTGCTGGAGGGCTCCTGGAGCATGAACCCGGCCCACCCTGTCTTCTTTGGCAAATACACAGATGCAGGAATCCAGGCGCCCCCAGCACCCAAGGTCTCTGTGTGCCTCCTCCACGCCTCCTCCTCCCTGGCCCTCCACCCACCAAGAAGGCTGAGGCGGGGTGGGCTGGGGGAGGGTGGGCTGCGGGGGGAGTCGGGTGCAGGGGTCAGCAGTCTGGAGAGCGCGGGCAGGCAACACAAAGCTCAAATCTTCTTCCCTGGCACAGTGTCTGCGTGGGGGCTGGGGTGCTCCCGGCCAGCCCGCTCAGGCATCGTACTTTTTACCAGTCCGGTGGATGTGCTGGAAGAGGGTCATGGAGAAGGCCATGCCCAGAATCTGAAAGACATGGGGGAGAGGGTTTTGGACAGAAGCCCCAGGGCAAGCGGGGGTACCCACCTGTGTGCCTGAAAATCACTGGTGGACGGGAGCCAGTGGTGGACAGAATAGGTCACACACAGCTGAGCTCAGCCCCTCAGAGCTGTTTGTACAGAAGATCATAAACCTCTCTGAGCCTCAGGAATCTGCCCATTTCAGGGTTCTGTTGTGAGGACCCAAAGCACAAAGGACCCGGCCCTAACTGGTAGCTACCACGGGACTGAGGTGGGGGCAGGAAGGGGACAGGAACGTTAAAAACCCAAGCCGAGTCCCTCCGTTCGGTTCTGGAATACACGACGTGATGTTTTGGGTGCAGCCAGTGTGTCTTCACCACCGATGTGCTTATGACAACATTAACACTCCTCTGTGTTCCCTCAACTCCTGAATCCTGAAGGGGGTGGTGGCCCAGAGCAGTGCAGGAGGAAGCCAGCCTGGGGCCTCACTGTCACCATGGGTAGCATGCCGTGGGCACACACCACAAAGCTAGGGACTGGGAGACGCTGCGTGCCTCTCGTGGTTTGGGCGTAACTGGAGGAGACCCTGGCTGGTGATGCTCTGGCGTTCTGGTCCAGGCCTGAGCACAGTCAGCTGAGAGGTGCCCTCTTCTCAATACTGAACAGCATCTTGCCCCCGTGTGCTCATCTCACATCAGAGCTCTGCAAAAGTGACAGCGGGCTTGTCTTCTGAGCTGGAAAGCTCTTGGATGAATCAGACACGTTCAGACCCCCAGACCCAAGAGTTTAGGGCAAGAAAGATACAAGATGTCAGCCATCTTCCCGTGGACCAGCCAGTCAAGTTCAAGCGCTCCAGGGAGAATCAGGCACTGAAGACTCTTGCTCGCCTCAGGTTGGAGCCATACATAAATGGACCAAGGAGGGAGCCCGGAAATGTGCATCCCCAGAAAGGTCAGGGGACTCTTGCTCCCCACCGGCCATGCCACCTTCATCTTTAGGAAGGGAGGCAGGATTCCCTCCTGGTCCCACCATCTCGCAAAGCGCAGCTGGGCACCGAATGCGGGGCTTGCAAAGGACAACCAGGCACCGAATGCTTGCTAGGAACAGCTCACACCTACTGAGCACGTCCTAGCTGCCTGGTACTGCTCTACGCCCTGTTCCACGCATGGGGCTCACTTCATGCTAAGAAGTGGCATGATGATCATGCCCATTATGCTGATGTGGAAATTAAGGCACAGACACTCAGCAACCTGCCCGGCTCATGTACATTTAATGGGTGCCGAGGCCAGAACGGACACCCAGGAAGTGTGAACACCTCAAGTGTTACCTGAGGACTTGGGTTCCATTCAATCCTAGGGTAAGTGTCCCCGTGAAGTAGAGCAGGCGTGTTGTCAAGCAGACCCACACAGGGGATCTGCACGGTGCTGGCCCCAGGCCCCAGGCTCGGAACGGATGCCCAGGAAGCAGAGCCCTACTGCGCCTGCGGGGTTGGGACAGGCGTTGGGATGGAGGCCTCAGGACAGAGCAGAGCAGGACAGCGCAGGGGCTTCAGGCTGCTGGGATCAGCTATTTAGTGCGTGTGCGTGTGTGTGTGTGTGTGTGTGTGTGTGTGTGTGT